CAAACTCTTAAAGATAAATAATACTTTAATATTTTTAAAAATAAAAAGTAATGCAAAAAATTCATGGTGATGGAAAGAAACTAGACTTCCGGTGGTGAGCGCACAATGGAATATACAAATGTTGGATTATAATGTTGTACACCTGAAATTTATGTTATTAACCAATGTTACCCCAATAAATTTAATAAAAATAAATAAATAAAAATGCATGATCAGTGCCATGGCCTGTGTGGCTCAGTGGTTAGAGCATTGGCCCATGCACTGAAGGGCTGTGGGTTTGATTCCCAGTCAAGGGCATGTACCTGGGTTGCAGGTTCAATCCCTGGTCCTGGTCAGGGCCTGTGCAAGAGGCAACTAATCTATGTATTTCTTGCATTGATGTTTCTCTCTCTCTCTCTCTCTCCCCCCCTCCCTTTCACTCTCTCTAAAAATCAATGGAAAAAATATCCTTGGGTGAGAATTAACAACAACAACAACAAAAATTCATAATGAGCAAAATGCCAACCTTTTAAATAATAACAGGATCCAATGGGGCCAGAGATGAGTTGCAAAAATGCAGGGCCTCCGGTCCTGATGCTATAAAAAAAAAAAAAGAGCAAACTTTTGGAAAGTTCGATATTCCAGTCAGGTTCTGGAATACACAGACCCCACAAATTATATAAGAATCCCCGATTGGGATGGGCTACAGAATTTTGGGGGGCCCGGGCAAAATGAAGATGGACAGCTTCTTGTTCAAAAATGATTAGGAATTTCGAGATGGTGATAACAGAGCGTTAAACCAAGGGCAGGCTCCTTCCTTGGAGAAGACAGGGTCCTGTTTGAGTGCATGAGTTGCCTGCCCTTGAAGCTCATTCTGCCCCCAATACACACCTCCCACACACCATGGGGACCAGACACCCTTCTCCTGGGAGGCCACCTGCATCTGACCCTCACCTGTGCAGGTACCTCCAATATTAAGGTACTTGGTAACCAAAGACTCCCATTTTAACACACTCCAGAGCTGATCATAGACACTCCCAGCACAGTACGGTCAGGCCTGGGCCACAAGGAGGGACTCAGGGCATTGCCTTTGAAGGAGAGTAATTATGAGAAAGTAATTTTCAGAAAAAAGGGCCTTTTGGCACATAGCAAAGCCCAGAAGTGTGATCCAAACTATGAACAATAATAAACCCACCTGTATATGTTTTTACTCCATGCCAGGCTCTGCCTTAAGCATTTTAACCCTAGGTACTGCTACTATGACATTTGAAAGAAGGGGAAATTAAGGCATTGAGAGGTTAAGTGACTTGGCCAAAATCAAATAGCCTGTAGGTAGCAGAGCCAGGATGGGAACCCAGGTACTTACTTACACCCTTGCCTCCTGAGTTACTGCCCTTCCAGAGGGGCATGAGTCAGGACATGGTGGGATAATGGCTGGAGAGGGACAGGGCCAGAACAATGCAGGACTGAGGAGATAGGATTTGACCTAGAGGGCACTGGAGAGCCATGGGAGGTTTTAGAGCTGTGTTTCTGTCTTCACTCTTGACATTCTGGCCTGGATTATTCTCTGTGGGGGACTCTCCAGGGCATAGTGCAGTGTTGAGCAGCAGTCCTGGCCTCACCCACTCTATGTCAGGGGTACCTCCCTGTCCAGTCTTGAGAAGCAGAAATGTATGCACACATTGTTGATTAGGGGGCATGGGGAGGCAAAATCGCATCCAGCTGAGAAGCTCTGGCTTAGAGTAACAGAGAGATACTGCCAGTGCCGAGGGATAGAAGGTTTTGCTGGTAGTGGGAATGGGGGAAGGCAGGGAGAGAGGCCAGTAGTCAGGAGAGAGCAGGCTGGCTGGGTCCACTGCACCAAGGAGCTAGAAAGAACAGAACACGGCAGGGAAGGGAAAGGCAGGGTGGAATGCTGCAACCAAGAAGGGAACAGCTTTAATTATGTAATAATTTGGGGAGAATCAGGGCTTTCGAAGATCTTCCTGTCTGGGTGGCTGCCATCCTACATCCCTCAGACCCCACTCATCCCCAGCCCCTTGGGTCCACATCCTGGTCTTTCCTCCCCCTGGGATTCTCGGGACCACATCTGGGGCCAAATTGGAGCAGGGATCTGTCTCATGTCACCAACCATCTGAGACCAGCCTGGCCGCCTGCTTACAAATGAGTGCTGGGCCCCACGGCCTCCCGGGCAGAGCCAGGCGCTGGCTGGCAAGTGATGGATGGGGCTGTGTGGCCATTAATCACAGGCAGGGGAAGAAACAGGTGGCCACCATTCGGGCACAGGGACTCCCTCTGATATATCTGGCAGAGCTGAGGCCTCAGCTGTCCAGCTCTGGGTTCAGCCTCTGGCCTGCCATAACCTGGCTGGGTGACCTGGAGCCATGTGATTTTACTGCTTTTCATCCCTTCCCACCCCCCGCCAATCCCAATGGAGCTATTATTCGTTCATTCTCTCAGTAAACCTACTGCACCTAAAGCTCCTTGGTGCAGTGGTGCATCTTTATTGCACCTACTGTGTGCCAAGCATAATTCTAAGTGGAGGCTGACAGCAGTGACCAGGGTGGACCAAAATCTCTCCCCTTACAGAGCTGACAGGCTTTTAAATCTTGACTCAGATCCTGTCCTGCCTCTGCCCACAGCCCTCCAGGGCTCCCACTTCTTTGTGGCAAAAGCTCAGGTCCTCCCCTTGGCCCACACGGCCCTGCACAACCTGCCCCCATTCCGTCCCTACCCTCACTTTCTCCCTCTCTCCCCCTTGCTCACTTTGCTCCAGTCGTGCAGGCCTCTCCTGCGTTCCTCCAACACACCAGGCCTTATCCTGTCTCGGGGCGTTTGAATGGGCTGTGCTCTTTGCCTTGCAGGATCTTCCTCTAGACATCACCTCACTTCCTCCAGGTCTCAGCTCAGATAGTACTTCCTCAGACAGGCTGTTGTGGACCTCCCTAAAATTTCCTGACATCCATTCGCTCATCCTTCTATATTTTTTCTTAATAATAATATCTCTTTCCATTTATATTTCCATTTATGTGCTTATTGTCCCCAATAGAGTGTCAGCTCTTCAAGGCAGGGATTTAGTCTTTTTCATTCCCTGCACAGCACTTGTCACACAGTAGGTGCTCAATGAATCTTGGTTAATATGAAAATTATGTTTGTCAGGGTTAGGCTGCCCAGTCAAAGCCGAATGCAGCTGAGTCAGCTCCGGCTGCTGTAACCAAATACCACAGACGTGGCGGCTTCTAAACAATAAACATTTATTTCCCACTGTTCTGGAGGCTGGGAAGTCCAAGATCAAGGTGCCAGCTGATTTTGTTTCTGGTGAGAACTCTCTCCCTGGCTTGCAGATGGCCGCCTTCTTGTTGTGCTTCTGTGGCCTTTCTTTGGTGAGTGTGGTAGAGATATCCCTCTTTCTTCCTCTTTTTATAAAGACACCAGTGCTATCAGATTAGAGCCCCACCCTTACGACCTCATTTAAACTTACCCCCTAAAAGCCTCATCTCCAGATACAATCATATTGGGGCTTAGGGCTTCTACACAGAGATTTGGGGGGATATAATTCAGTCCCTGGCACAGCTCAACTGAGATCTGCTCTTTCCACCGGACGCAGCTCTGTTCCTGGGACATGACTAAGTGCTGTTCGTTCTGCCTGGAGTATGTGCCTTAAAGCCTCAGGAAGGGATGGGAAGGACAGGCTCCCATTCTACTTGGTACAAGCATAGCTGGGGAGGCAGGAATTTATCTGATTGCCACTCTAATGTGGCTCCTAACCAGGGGCGGTTCTGCCCCCAGGAGACATTCACACTGAGGCTGGATGTATGGTGATATATTTGTGATTATTATATTCATTGTTTTCTTCTGATTTTTTTTAAATCCTCACCCAAGGATATGTTCTTATTGGTTTTTAGAGAGGAAGGGAGAGAGAGACGTTGATGTGAGATCATCATTGATCAGTTGCCTGTGTACGTGCCCCAACTGGGGATCAAACCCGCAATCTAGGCATGTGCCCTGACTGCGAATTGAACCGCAATCTTTTGGTGTACAGGATGACCCTCCAACCAACTGAGCCACCTGGCTAGGGCTTCTGATTTTAAAGGAAATTAAAACATGTTACAGGCTCCTAAAAGCACTATGGGGCCGGGGCACTGTGCCCAGTGGATACCTTAGCCCTGCTGGGAAAAACCTGAGGGCAGAAAGGAGGTGGGGCAGGTAGAGATGGGGTGGAGGCTGGACAAGGTGGGGGACAGGCGGGGAGGGAAGGAACCCGATACAAGCAAGATTGAGATTCAGCAGGGTGGTGGTTAGCACGGACGGCGAGATGGAGGGGTGGCAGGGATGGAGGGCAGAGCCATCGTGACAGTGAGCTGGCCTGGGACACGGTGTCCTGGGTGGCTTGCTAGTTCTGTTTTGGATAAGTCGAGTTCAAGAACCCAGTGAAACTCCCACAAAAATGTCAAGGAGAGGAAAAGTAGATATATTGAACTCCATCAAAATTAAGAACATGTGTGCATCGAAGGATGCCCTTATGAGAATGAAATGACAACTCAGAATGGGAGAAACCAGTTGCAAATCCTGTATCTGAGTAGGGCCCGTTATCTCCCATTCTGAGTATAAAGACAGAAAGAACTCCTATACCTCAACAACCGCAAACAGAGCACGCAGTTCAAGAGGGCGAAGGACTTGAACAGACAGTTCTCCAAAAAGACAAGCGTATGGCCAAGATGCTCGACATCACTAATTATCAGGGAGGCGCAAATCAAAGTCACAGTGAGACTTCACTCTACTTTACATGCATGAGGTTGGTTATAGTAAAAAAAAGGAAAATAACATTTTTTTGGTGGAGCAATTGGAGGCCCTGGGCACGGCTGGTGGGAATGGAAAACGGGGCAGCTGCTGTGGGAAACGGAAGGGCAGTTCTTCAAAAAGTTGGACATGGAGTTACCGTATGATCCAGCAACTCCGCTCCTAGGTGGAGGCCACAAAGAATGAAAAGCAGGAATTCAAGCAGATATTCGTAGACCCACGTGGGCAGCAGCGTCATTCACAGCAGCCAAAGGGGGAAAAGGGTCCATGGACGATGCGTAAGAACAATTTGCCATCTTAGCCATTTCTGAGTGCCCAGTTCAGTGGCATTCAGCACACTCTTATTTTCGTACAATCATCACTGCCACCCATCTCCAGAACTTTTTCATCTTCCCCAACTGAACTTCTGTCCCCACCGAACGCTGACCCTCAACCTCTTCCTCTAGCTCCTGGCGCCCACCTTTTACTTTCTATCTCTATGGACTTCACGCCTCCACGGCTGTCCTGTGAGTGGAATCACACAGCATTTGTCCTTCTGTGACTGGCTTGTTTCATTCATTTGGCACTCCAGAAATAAGCCCCGTCCCCATTAGCAGTCATAACAGTCACCCCCCAGCCCTCTCCCCAGCCCCTGGCAACTACGAATCCACTTTCTGTCTGGGTTTGCCTGTCTAGACATTTCACACAAATGGAATCACACACTGTGTGGCCTTTTGGGTCTGGCTGCTCTCACTGAGAGTCACATATTCAAAGTTCACCCACGCTATAGTGAGTGGCAGTGCCTCACTCCTTTTAATGGCTGCATAATATTCCGGAAGAGATATATATATCTATTTTATTTATCCATTTTATTTATCACATGTTATCCATTCATAAGCTGACAGATATTTGGGTTGTTTCCACCTTTTTCTTATTATGAATACAGCTGCTATGAATATTTATACACAAGTTTTCATGTGAACATAGGTTCTCATTTCTGTTGGGTGGATACCTAGGAGTGGAGTTGCTGGGTCAGATGGAAACTTTGTTTTACCTTTTGAGGAACTGCCAGATTGTTTTCCACAGCAGCTGCACCATTTTTCATTCCCACTGGCAATGCCTGAGGGTTCCAATTTTTCCAAGTCCTCACCAGTACTAGTTATTAGCCCCTTAAACCTTCAACCTCAGTTAAACACCTCACTCACCTCTCTCGAGTCCAGCCCTGTAGTGGGGTGAGCAGCTCCCTTGTTCCCATAGTCCTCGCATGTTTTGTCTACAACTCATGAAATCCAGGAAAGAGAAATGAACAGCAATAATGGTAACGCAGATAACAGGGGCCTCCTATGTGCTGGGAGCTGTTCTAAGTCTTCTTCACATATTCATTCATTTACTAGTAATCCATTTTGCAAATGGGCTCAATAGAGGCTCAGAGAGAGTATGGCCTGGCTGGAGGCTCCCCAGCCTGGAAGCTTCTGGGCACCCAAATCTCTGAGCCTTGTCACCCCCACTCAGGGCCATGCTTGATAATAATGTGTTTTGTTTTTGTGTGTCTTTTCCTGGGAGCTTCCAGCTGTGCCCTTGTGAACCTGGCATTGGCAGGGCCGAGAACTGCTGTTGGGGTGTTTAAAGGCCTTTAAAAGGTGTTCACAGCATTTCTCTGATGCTGCACAATAATTAGGTATGGTAATTAGGAGAACACATTCAGTGGGCGTGTCTCTGGGGACACCTGGGGACATTTGGGGACTGTAGGGAGCAGGGAGGTATGGCTGCCCACCTGGCCTGACCTCCAGAGGCCCCTGCTGCTTCTCCTGAGATACCCAAGGGCAAGCGCCTGCAGCAGCTTTGCAACTGGTGAGCTGTGTGGCTCTGTACATGTATCTGTAGGTCTCTGGGCCTCTGCTGGGTGGGATTAGTGCCGTTATAAGAAGTGAAGGAGCCCAGCCGGCATGGCTCAGCAGTTGAGTGACCTAGGATCCAGGAGATTGCGGTTTGATTCCCAGTCAGGGCACATGCCCGGGTTGCGGGCTCGATTCCCAGTGTGGGGCGTGCAGGAGACAGCCAATCAATGACTCTCTCATTATTGATGCTTCTATCTCTCTCTCTCTCCCTCTCCCTTCCTCTTTCTGAAATCAATAAAGATATATTTAAAAAAAGAAGTGAATGAGATCAGAGCTCCCTCTTCATTATCTGAGGACTGAGCAAGAAGGCAACCACCTGCAGGCTGGGAAGAGGGCTCTCACCAAGCACTGACCCTGCAGGCACCTTGGTCTTAGACTTCCAGTCTCCAAAAACATGAGAAAATAGGTTTTGGTTGTTTAAGCCACCCAGTCTATGGCATTTAATTATGGCAGCCTGCGCAGACTAAGACAAGGAGTTATGTGATTTAATCCCCAGAATTAGCGCCTAGAGGAAGTTGCTATAGTCAAGGAGACCCAGAGGCCCAGAGAAGGCAAGACACTCCCCTAAGATCACACAGCCAGGAATTGACAGATATGAAATTCAGACTCAAGACTGGCTAGTTCTCAGTCTCGCATGAATCTCCCCAACCTTCCCCAGGACTCCCCCCCACCCCCACCTGCAAACCACTCCAGGGAGGCAGTTTAGGTTCTTTTTTAAAAATTTATCTCTATTGTTGAAAGTATTACAGATGTTCCATTTTTTCCCCATTGTTCCCCTCCACCCCCACCCCCATCCCTCCTAGTCTCATTGTTGATAGAGAGATATGGGTTTGAATTCTTACTCTGGCATTCTATTTGCTGAGTGACAGCGACCAAGGTGCACTCTATCTGAGCCTCATTTTCCTCATCTGCAAAACAGGAGTCCTAACAGATCCAGAAAGTTGTGAGGGGGCAGGAATCAAGCATGCCAGCCCCTTACCTAGGGATAAGCACAGAGTAAAATACTTGGTCAGTTGTCCTCTCTGACCCTCAGTTTCTTCTTCTATAAAATGGGCATAATGTTGGTACTTACTTGTGTAAAGTGCTTGAGTCAAAGACTTAAGTGGATGGGAGTAAAGAGCTCATAACAGGGTCCGAAGCCAGTAAGCATTTGATATATATTAATTTTAAAATATAAAGCCCTGGTCCTAGCCGGTTTGGCTAATTGGTGTATCGGTCTGTGGACTGAAGGGTCCTAGGTTTGATTCAGGCCAAAGGCACAGGCCTCGGTTGCAGTCTCGATCCCCAGCCCCCAACAGCGCGTAGGGGAGGCAACCAATCAATGTATCTCTTTCACATTGATGTTTCTTTCTCTCTCGTTCCCTTCCACGCTCTCTGAAAAGCAATGGAAAAAATATCCTTGGGTGAGGATTTAAAAAAAATAAAAATAAAGGGTTGCTGGTTGGATACCCAGTTGGGGCACGTGCCTGGGTTGCTGGCTCCATCCTTGGTGGGTGGTGTGCAGGAGGTAGCTGATCCATGTGATGTTTCTCTCAACAAGAGCAAAAAATCTTAAAAAATAAAAATGTTCATAAACATAAACACGCCCACCAACCCAGAGACACACACCCCAGGACCCCCCAAGGATGAGTGGCTGCTTTCTCTGCAAACTGCTGTTCAGCCTGGTCATGGAGGAGCACACATAGCTATTTGCATTTAAATATAAATTAACACAAATGAAAATATTGAGTTACTTAGTTCCCCTGGCACACATATCTCAAGGGCACGCACACAAGCGGCTGGCAGGTCGACAACCTCAAGCAAGAATAGTGCCACGTTGGTAGAAAGTGCTGGTGGGCAGCGTCGCGTGGAGACCCTCCCCTAGGTCAGGCGGAGCAGGCAGCTCCGACTCCCCAGGCCCAAGGCCGCGGTTCCACGACTGTCCACACGGGGGCAGTATGTCCCAGGATCCAGAGACAGGCACAGGCTGAGTAAAAAGCTAAGGGTGCCGCATCCCTCAGCTTGCGCGTCCTTGGGAAGCGTCCACCGTGGGCCAGGCACTGTGCTGGGCACCGCGCAGTCCTCAAGACATTCTAGTCCAGGGTCCCCCCTCTTTACTTGGGCATGGTGGCCGGGTCATTCTGTAGGGGGACATCCTGGGCGCTGTGAGGTGTTGAGCAGCATCTTGGGACCCCACCCACTCGATTCCAGGGGCACCCCCAGTAGTGACAACCAGAAATGTCACCAACAGTACTTTCTTTTGGTAGGGCATAATCACACTCAGGTGAAAAGCACCGTTGACAGCTGACTCACTGGAATAATAAACAATAATAATCTTTATTATTATAACAAGAAACAACACTCATGGACTGTTTACTGTGTACTAGGCCTTGTTTTAAGCAGTTTGCATAAATGAAACCCTCTGAGGTAGGTAACTTTCACAGTATCTCTGTTTTACAAAAAAGGAAATGGAGAAAGATTGAATCACTGCCTCAAGGTTACAGCTCAGCATCATGGAGCTGGGATTTGAACCCAGAAATTGTGGGTGCAGAGCCTGGGCTATTACTGACAACCCAATTCTCACCATTCCCACAGCCTCCACCCTGATCCAGCCCCCATCAGGGGCTGTCTGGCACCGTCCCCTGGGCCCTCGTCCTCCAGCTCCCACCGTCACCCGACCACCACAGCCTGTCCTCCCAGCAGCAGCCATCAGAGGGCGCCGGCAAGGCCCTGAGTCAGGTCCCTCCTCTGACCACCGCCCTTCAGCACTCTCACCTCCCTCAGGGTAAAAGGCCCAGGTCTCCCTTGCCCCGCCTAGGGCCCTGCACCATCTGCCCCTTTCCTTCCCTGCCCTCACCTCCTTCCTTTCTCCCTCTGGCTCACTTTGCTCCAGCCATTCCTCTTCCTCCAACACGCCAGGCTCTGTCCCGTCCCAGGACGTTTGCACGGGCTGTGTCCTCTGCCTGGATTGCTCTTCTTGTAGATCTACAGATGCCTTGCTCATTTCCTCAGAGAGCCCTTTTCCAATCCCTGTATCTAAAATCCCACCCCTTTCCCAAGCGCCCTACTCTGCTTTATTTTCTTCTCTTTAGCATTATTCCTGTCTAATACTCTATGTATTTTAATTATTTATATTTGTTTGTTATCTGTCTGCTCCCACTTAGAATGCCAGCTCCATGAAGGAAGGAATTTTTGTGGGATTTCTCATTGCTCTGCCCCCAGCCTAGAACCATGCCTGACACACAGTAGGTACTTAATAAATATTTGTTGAATAAAAAAACTGGTTCTATTATGTCCATTCAGCTCATTATAATGATAATACTGAGCATATATTGAGTACCTTATGTGTGCCAGGCTATATGCGAATTATTTTTTTAAATCATTTACTTATTTTTTGAGATACAGTTCACATATCAAATTTACCATTTTAAAGTGTACAA